TATTAATACCCAATGGTCATGCAATATTAATATTCTTTTCTCTAAATTAACACCCCCAATGGTCATGCAAGACGTCAATTTGAGAAAGCTTAAGGAACCTATGAACTTGTTAATTTAATAATGATTAGAAGAGAAAAATTAGTTTGATCTACCTAATCCCTTGTCTCGTTTTATCTTATAGATCTATTAATTAATCGAGGTACGATCGTCTAACGATGTAATTAAGTAGGGTTAAGAGTGAGATGCGATAGGATAAATTCTAATCACGAAACAGAAATCGAATTAAGATTCAAACATCAAAATCTCATAAATTTATAAATAACAATCCCCATAGCTCTAGCTATGGATTTAGTTACTCATGTTGAAAGAAAGATCTAAAACAATCAATAACATATCCATAATGGAGAGAAATAGCAAACTAGACTATGAGATGAATCTTCCGTCTTCAAGTATGGTCACTTGAAGCTCCAGTTTCTGCCTAGAGTATGCTAAGGATCCGTGCAAGAGAGGCGAAAATGATCAAAACCTAGAAGGACTAAGGTTGTGTGTAAAGTGGTGTTCAAAAGATGCCTTGGATGATGCCTTTTCCCCCCTATTTATAGAGTTTGAACTCCTTTAAAATTGTAAGACTGAGTTCCCGCAAAAGAGCACAGTTGTGCACCACAATACAGCACGGTCGTGCATTCATTCGAAGCACCCCTGTGCTTATTGTTGTAGGACTCTAACCTTCATCCAGTTGGGTCCAATATGCACCAAAATTCACTTCAGGCTTCCTTCTACCAAACTGCGCAATCAATATATAAATTTGTGTAAAATTCCAATGAAGTAAAGGTCAAATATGAATATTTTATGGCTGTAAATAAGACCAAATTACAGACTTATCATGCCCACGAAAGAAGAAGAGCAGTTGAGGAGCATTGCCTATAAATATTACGAAACTTCACATTTCTGGGGGATTTTTAGCACTATACATCTGCACCCAAACTCTCTGCACGTTGAAACTCTGCACCGAGTCAGACACCATCTACCGAGAGACTCACGATCATTGTTATTCATTGTAAAGAGTTGTAAGTTATTTTCTTGTACATTTATTTTACTGCAATTTGTTTCCAGTTTCCAGATTCATTTTACGTCTTATATTCCTACAATTACGTCGTTATTTAATACATTTTTGTAAAAACTTCAACGTTCAGTTGTGTTCTATTTTGATTATTATTTACTATTCTTGCTTTAGTATTTGGTTTACGTCGTCAATTTCATTATCACATTAATAACACACTTAAAAAAAATTCAAAGAAGACCTAAAATTCAGTTCCTAGATTGATCTTAAATTTATTTGTTTACAATTTGCAATTTTTACTATAAACAACTATAAAAAAAAGAATATAAGATGATTCAATGGTTTAATTGATCAATTTATATTCTATTAAAATATAATAATTTTTATTGATCCAATCATTAAATTATAATTATATATTACCTAAATTATTTTTTATTAAATTTTATGAAAATTGAACATCTGCAATATTGTTATCAAAGTGATCTTTATTTTCATATTTTTATTGCATTAATTTTAATATATATGAATATAAATATGGTATTAAATAATTTTTAATTAATTCTAAATTTTATACATATAATTTATACAATTAAAATTTTAATTTTATATATATATATATATATATATATATATATATATACACGCACTCAAATTATACCCATATATGTTACATTTATCTTATTCAATATTTTTAGGGTTTGGGGTTTTTATTGAATAATTTATTTGTAAAACTCTAAAAAAATTTATGAATTCAAAATTAGTTAATACTTTATTATAACTTATATTTTTAAAATATATAAAAATAGAAATTTTTATTATACTTTTATGATTGTTTAATTTTGGTAAAATTATTTTTTATATTAAGTTAGTATACACTAGTATAATTTGATAAAAATATTTTCAAAGTAGTAATTTATTATAAATAATATAATTCAATCTTAAAATTAAAGAATCCAACTTCTTATAATACATATAGAACAATATTAATAACGTGTAATACATTTTTTAATGTATATTTTATTATAGATTAAAAATTATGTGATCGAGATTCATGAAATTTAAAAATAAAAATATAAAAGCTTGTAAAGACCTAATTTAGTCATGACCTTACGTAAGATATAATTTTAACAGATAAAAAGAAAAAACTCACCTTCCATCGTAGTTTGTTGTTGCGCATTTTGCGATATCCATTTGTATTTTCTATGCATACACAGGGAGACTATAGTGGGTGGAAGATAACCCACCAATTAAGTATGATACAAAAGCTTTGTATTTTCTTTCACTTTGTACAGTTTATATATGTAATGAAACGGTGGAAACTCATGATAAAGATATCTAATGTTTTAGAAAATTGGTGACAAGATTAATACCCATTTATGCATTATGGTCTATTGGAGGATGATATTTTTATCATGAAAATGTTTGATATAGACCACTCCTATTTTATGAACCTAGCAAGTCAATTACAGGATGGTTTGATGCTTGAATACGAGGTGAAGTGAAATTTGAAATTGTCCATAAACAAGAGAACGGTGATTGAAGATTAAGCAAGTGGTAGAACTCATAAATGTATGTTAATAAATTAAGAAAATTGTATTAGTTAAAATACAAATTACAGAACTAATATTTGAGTAAGCATAAATCCTAATTAGATTAGAGTTCATAGTTCTTTAGAACAATACTCTGCATTCTCGATCAAGTTAAACAACTTCATAACAAATTATCCTAATGCTATACTATTTCTCTCGTCATATTATTCAAAGAACAATAAAGTATATATCTATTTACACATTATTTAAGCAAATAACTAGAATCTAAAAAATATAGAGAAATAATTTTTCAACCTGTATTTCCAAAATTAAAAAAACACATAAACACATGAACAAAAATGTATTTAAGATTTCAATTATGGGATAAAACTCTCCTTACCTCCATGAGATGATCTGTAAATAGATTTGTAAAAGATATTATCCAAAGACCAAGTTCTTCCTATATATCACAATATAGAGTACTTTTTGAGAAAAAAAGAAAATAAAAAATAGAAATAAGATTAAGAAGTTATGCTACAAGAAACTTACTTGGACTTAAGAGAAAGAGACATCTAAACTCGAATTTGAAAGAGGTTTGAAATTCTCAAGGTGATTTAGCTAAGAAAAGAAGTAAAAGAACAGAAAAAATAGTGAATAAAGGTTACTTAACTTGTAATACAAGTTTAGAACACTACATTTCTTTAAATACCTTTTTTGTCCGCAACTTCTTGTTTGAGCAGAAGTATTCTCAACTAGCAAAAACACCATATAGAAATTTTACACAAGTTTTCTGATAAGCAAAGCCTGGTGCAAAGAGCTCCTCATTTTCCTGTATCCTCTCGCCTAAATAAGAGAACATTTAAGACGATATTGTCTATTATCGTCTAAGTAAGGCTCATCTCGTTTGAGTGAAATTAAATTATAGTGAGTAATATAGCTCAATCTTACTCAAGCGAAACTTCCCACATCTTTCAAAATTTAAATTTCTTTATTTTAAAAACAAAATATAATGAATTGCAAAAGTAAAAAAAATAAAGGTGTTACATTCACTGTCATAACAACAACTATTATTGATACCTAGGCTTTGGTACTTATATTTATTATTTGAAACATATAAGTTATACTTATATTATTATCACATATACGTTAATATTTTTGTTGTTTTTTTATTTGAATTTGTAGATATTCAAAAATACTAATCCATTACCTGAAGAAAGTTATTGACGTTCAAAAACATAGGACAAAGTTTGTTTTATATATTACTAGTTGATGAACTATTTTGGAACATGCAATGTGTATACAATTTATAGGATATAGTTGATTTTTTTTTTTCAATTTTAAACTACACATTGTACAAAATACAATAACAATTGAATTTTACATAAATTAAATGTAAATTGTGTAGCATAGTTGTTATGAATGAATCTTTGTATTTGTCTATCAAAATCAGGTATAATGTAAAAAAAAAATCATATTTTAAAAAAATTACATTAGTTCTACTTTAACTAATCAAATTAAAATTAGAGTCAATATGGAATGTAACATTTTACATTAGTTGTACCACAATAATTTAGATCAGTTATGATGCAATGAATGTAGAAAATATACACTTTCTATATCAATAAGATGTAGAACCTATATAAAATATGTGCACTTTGTAAAATATATTAATTTTTTACGTTAGTTATAATAGAATCGATATAAAAAATACTAGCAAATGTAAAATATTTTCATTTATTTTATTGCTCAGATCTATGTTGATTCTTTAACTTATGTAAAAATTTATTTTTAATTGATATAAAGAGCTGTTTATGAACTATTACCCCATTAAATGCACATTTCTTTAGCACATTAAATTGAACCTGATTCCAAGTTAACCACATTATCTTATTTATTTCATTGGCATTTTTCTTATTAATTCCAAGTAAAATTTATATCTTCAATAATTTAATATGATAAACATTGGAATATACCAAAACCACCAAAATACAAATTAAAATACTCCCTTGCTTAATTTTACATATTGCAATTCCAATCCACCGCCTCCATTCGTCTGATCACCGTATTCAAAATTTTGAATTGTTTTTCTCTTACCTAAAATCAAAATCTCAACAAAGATTATATATTTTATTATTGGTTAAAAAATAAATATTAAAAAATTTATCATGACAATTTATTAAATAATTTAACATTTAAATATTGAAAGATAAACTTGAAAAATATTACAATAATTTTAATTAATTTTGAATGACTTTGTGTTAAAATTTGCTTTAGGTGTAAACATTAAAACGTACAAGTATTATTAATGCTTAAAAGTGCATATTTCCATTGGTTGTACACTCTAACTTGGAAAAAGAAATTTCCCTGTTACGCAAATATTATACGAGGTATAGTTGCAAGTCATGGAATAAGGCACTGGTAAAATTGGTGACTACTGGCGTAAAGATTATGAGAAGAATCACAACTACAAGACACTACAAAATTATTGTAAGAAAAAATGAGCAGAAGAACATGAAGGGGAACGTGATCAACGAGACTCGACAACGCTACTAATTCCCCAGTACTAGAATGATGGGAACTCAATTTGCGATCCACATTTGCCTTTAGGGAACACAGGGCATTCGATGAAGTCAGCTCCAGAGGTGTCCACACACAAGTAAACTTGATAAAGCTGGTTGTTACGTGAAGAGTCCACATTGCACTCGATATATGGAGTATAACCAATTGCATCTTTTATAGCTCCCTTGATGCTGCTTAGGCTGTAAGACTCCCCATCTGGTTGGATCCCTGTCACCAAATGCATGTTTTTCAGCAAAAGGTCCAAGCATTGCCAAATTATATAGCCAATTTCTTTTGGGTTCTTATAATTAAGTAGGTAAATAACCTAGACTAAAGAAATTAAGATAGTGTATTGAAAATTGTATCAACATTTTATGGACAAAATTTCGTTAGTCCACCTAAGATGAGGTTATTTACTTCATGCGATAACTTTAAAATAAGCTTTATTTTGAAGTTACACATTTAATGAAAATCACACTTTTAAATAAAAATATGATTCTTATTAATATCGGCACTTACTTTAATTATATTTAACAGTTTAAAACAAAAAAAAATAAAATACTAAACCAGTTTTGATTCCGTAATGTACCTGCATTTGTAAGTGCTCGGAGGAGGTTAGCTCTTTGCTTCAAATTGAGAGCTGCTTCAAAATAGTCATGTTGCTTGAGGATTGACTCGGAGCAAGTGCCATGCTTCTCCCATTCGTGGGTCCAGAATTGGATCCCATTGCCACTTGGGCATGCTAGCGTTGGCCAATTCCTCTGCAAGCTGCTCGTGAGGTCTGATATCTGTCACCATATATATAATTTTACTTATTAATGCCAGTGGCAAATTAAGCGTCAAATAAACACCACATTGAACTGAAGTGTGAAAGAATCCTCTTTTCTTTATTATTTTAAGCTTTTCTTTGCTTAGCAGTTGTCCCATGAATATTTAATTGAAGGTTATAAAAAAGGTTAAAAGTTTGTATAAAGAAACATGAAAAGGGTAAGAGGTGACATTTCTGTTGCATTTAGTCTCCAACAGAACGTGAGCACCCGAAACTATGTCTTGCGGGGGAAATTGAAAAAAGGATTACATTCTATAAAGTTTTAATTGGATGAAGCGATTTTTTATTTTTTTTAGCTTGTGGACTATGGGGCTTGGTGGAACGAGAATTTATCTTGATTCAAAAGGACCAAGCAAGTGGAGCATGATTTCAAAATAGATTTTAGTTACCTAGCAAATGATAAAATGCGATTTCGAAGACTACCAAAATCGCAATTTCACATCACAGTTGTGGTCACCGATAGTAATTTGGTGGAGAAAAGATAGAAAAAATGTATTACCATCCTTGCAATATATGTATCATTTATTTGTAGATTGAACAAATTATGTAACTTTGTCCAATAAAAAGTGAATTTTGCAGACTGTTAAGTCTTAATGATCAAATCAAGGCTATAATTGATGTAGAATGACGTACCTGAGATTGCTGAAAACGATTGTTAGGATCACAGTTAGACGGGTAAGAGCCATCTTTGTTATTAGGCCAAAGCCCATGAATGCCAAAATCTGCAGCGGGTTTCCCAGTTGTTGGGTAGCAACAGCTGTTTTGTGTGTCACAGTATGATCCAGGCCACTGCATAGCAAATAATTAAAAAACAATACATTTTGTTAAAAAAATAATAAAAAAAGTTTACTAGCAGAATGAATGACCACAATTACACTAATGTTTTACAATAGACACTCTCTAACCTGCTGAACAAAGTAGTAGAAATCGAAATCCTGTGAAACACAGAGAACCGACAAATACAGAAGTAGTAAAAGCTTGATGGACATGGAACCTTGGGACTCCATTTTTGCCCCTATTTTAATAATTATTTTCAGAAAATTTGGTGGGGTTTGGACTATGATTCTTTGGTTTATATTAAATGGAAGGCACAGCTATGGAATGGTGATGGTGGATTGTGAATTTATAGATATGAAAGGGGAATAATGTGAACAGGTGAGGGAGAATGGAGTATCAAAGATAGCATTCACTGCTCAACAATCTTAATCAGCCTAACATGGTTTATGTGCAAAACTATTAGAGAAGAAGTTAGCGACATGTCGGTTGCCCTATTTGTTTCTTTTAATAGCCCCAATACAATGAATTGGAGAGAAACCAGTATTTGTGTAGTTTATAATAATGATAGATGGGGACACTGCATTCACATTTGAGACCAAAAATAAATAGTGGCAGAATGAGACGAAAAAATCCAGTGTTTTGTTTTTTGGAGGGAGGTGTTAAATGATCCTTTGGACTGCTGCAAAGAAGCCCACAAAAGAAGAAGCTCTGTTCAAATGCGTTCACACACATTATTGACCAAACCAAAATGCGTTCCCAAGTAAAATAGCTCTTAAAGTCTGTCTTGTACACCTGAATGGAAGAGGAAAATTGTTCTTCTACACTGAGGAGAAGCATTGAAGTGGCTATTTCTTTTTACATTGCAATTGGGGTTGTCAGCGACAATTTCAGTTTTACACTTGAGATAATGAGACCAAAACATCAATGTTCATTGATTACATGAAATTATACGTACCAGTTAATTTAGTTTTCGAATTTGGACTTTAAAATTATTAAAAAATTGTTTATTTTAGTCGTTGATTTTATAAGCACCCATTAATTTATTTTTTTAAATTAAAATAGTTCTTAAAATTATTAATGTGACGGGCTAAATGTCGACATGGTTCCGAAGTAATCACTCATGTTATAAGAAAAATTATCTTATGTCAATCTAAGTTATTTTTTTTTAATTTTTTTTTTTTTTGAGTCTTACGTCAAAATATTACAGTTGCCGATTGTTGAGGTTGCATAATTGTTTTCTTACTTTTTCTTGATTATTTAGTTGTTTGAATTGAGTTCAAGCTAAACTGGCTGATTTTTTTTATAGATTTATGGCAGTTTTTTTTATTTCAAAAAATAAATTGATGGATATAGGAACTAATATAATTAATTTCTAATATTTAATGAATAATGTGTTCATAATTTTATAAATTAAAATGATGGATTTATAATAATTTTAATGAGTATTTTTTTTTACAACTTCAAGGATTTAAATACTCAATGTTTATTTCATAATTTGGATCCTGATCTGGGCTTGTGCCGCATGGGTCCACTTGGTCTCGGACGGTGACAATATTTGGTATTTTGGATCCTCAGAACTCCTCACGTTTGGGCCAGTTTTTAAATTTCACAGATGTCTGTCATTCTCATTATTACGAGTTCCTTTTGAACCTTTATTTGAAGTGAAGCTCGTTAGAGAGTGAGTGATAAAAAAAATTAGAAAACAAACGTGACTCGTTTAAAAAACCATTTTATATTACGATTTAGCTTAGAACACTAGAAATATGCATTGTAAACACAAAAACTGAGTGTCAAAGCAAAAAAAATAAAATTTAAGAACAAATTTTTTTAATTTTCTAGTGTTGTTATTCAATTAAAATTAAAACTTTACTCTAACAATTTATGAATTAAAGATTGCCACATATTATTAACGTGAAATTATGATTTTAATTTAAAAAAACAACAAAAAATATTTATAGTATTATATCTAAGTTATATATATATATATATATATATATATATATATATATATATATACACTTGTATTTTAAGTTAATAGCATTCACCTTGAGAGTGAATGGTGAGTTCCATGCGTGAGATCCGTCATTTATCCAAAATATACCTCAAATATTTTTAATAGAGAATTAATAGTGTAGTTTTTTATTTTTGAGATGTATTTATTTTTAAATGAAGGAAAATATAATTTTAGGAATATTCCTAAAAACAACCTAAAGAGGTTGGTCAAGGGGAATAATACAAGGTCTTCTAAGTAAGTTTGAGTTTTCACTCGTAGAGTGAGGTAAATGTAAATATTATATGAATTTATTTTAATATATTTTTGTATATATTAAATATTTTGTTGTGTTAAGTTAATTTTTCATTATATTCAAATAAAATAATATAATATATATTATATATATATAAAATAATGGTTCAGAGGATAAAAAATTTATTTACAGGTAAAGCCCATTTTTGAATCTTACTAGAACCATTTGCTAAATTTTATTGGTTGTAACAACAGAACGGATTCAGACTAAAAACTGGTTCTTACCGGTTTCATCGGTTTAAAGGCCGTTGGATGACCAGTTTCTGGTTGGACTGGTCGTTTTCAGAACATAGAAAAATAGAGCTTTTATATAATTAACTTGATAAACTTCTCCTTTACTTAAGAAATTATTTTTTTCAAGTGAGATTTATTTAATAAATTTATATTTTTTTGCATACCCTCATTCTTATCATCTAATTAACTGATTGATAGGAAATTATTTTGGACTTTTATTTTAAGCTTGGTTCTTGTATAATATTCTTTTTTTTTAGCTTTTTTTGTGTTGGTTTGATTCAAACAAGAGATTGAAGGAGGACCATGATAATTAAGGATATATAAAGAGATTGATAGATCTATGCACCTATTATTTTAAGATTTTTTAAGTTATATTATGATGTCTTACAAATGGAGGCTTCTTCATAAAACTCTCATCTCAAATAGTGGTATTAGAGTTAGGTTAATTTAAGTGACTAGCTCAAACGACTAGATGAACTTAGGAGAGAGAGTGAATGATGGCAATATGTATGGTTAATATAAGAGTGCACCATAGAGAAAATGGTGATACTAGATAAGCCTTAGAGCCGGTGACATCTACGTATAAAAAATGTGAAGTTCAAAAAGTATCATTGAGTAGACAATAACTTACGTGGAGAGAGCAAAAGTTGTTCTAGTGTAAACCATAGATACTCATGATATGAAATAGATAAATTCACATTTGAGGAATTAGAATCAAATTTGAATTAAGTCTTATATAAAATGAGCCATAAACTAGTTAGGAGTTTATAAAAAGATGAACTTATGTACCTATTACTTTAAAGTTTTTGAGTTGCATTATGATATTTTACTAAAAGAAGCTCTCCCTTAAAACTCTCCTCTCCCAACAAATTCTATAACATCAATACACTATAAACTAAGGGACTATTTGATTTTAAAATTATTTTTTTTTATTTTTAATACTAAAATTATCATATTTTATTTTATTTTTGAAAATAACTTTTCTCTATTTTAAAAAGTCAGCCGATATCTTTTTGGCTCTACTAAAAACTGTGGAGACGAGGTCTATGCTTCAAAAATTATTAGACTTATATACAATAATCACTTTAGGTATGATTATCATCTTCATAATCCATTCATCAAATTATAGATAAAAAAAACGAAAATATTAAGAAATATTTTCGTCAATATTACTTTAAGTAAAGTAAACGTTCACATTAATCGAGGAATCGCTGATATTAAGCATCAACAATGTTAGCCTTCATTTTATAAACTTTTTATTTAATTCTCGATTTTATAAAATACAATTTATCCTAAAACTTTTAAATACATTTTCTTTTACTGGTAATAAGGATTGGAGAAAATAAAATTAATTTTATGAAATTAAGGATTAATAATGGTGTTGTAAAGTTATGAATTAGTAATTGCTGGTTATAATCGTAGAGAAAAAGTTGGGTTGTTTATTCAACGTTATGTATTCAAAGATACTGTTTCCATAAGGGCGGGGGAGAAAGGAAAGAAAAAAGTTCAGAGAGCAATATGTAATCCACACGTGCTTCAGCTTGGAACTTTATCAACATTGTCGTAAAAGAATTCCTCAATTTTCCCTTAATTAGAAAAGAAGATTATAAAATGGGTATTTGATATAAGTGTTAAACGAGGAAGATCCACTGTGCTAGGTTACTAACAAGTTAAAAATATATAAATAAGAAGTTTAGAAATTTAAATTGTTAAATTTTTTTAAGGAAATAAATCACATAAGATTTTTTTTACTTTTTTTTTGCCGTCCTATAAATCATATAAGTTTAAGTTCACTCCTTGGTGAAGCCTTATATTAAACCTGTGCTCAAATTCTAATAATATTATTATAATGGAAAAGTTGAGTAACGAGCAAAAGCACATCCTTTATTGTCATTAAAAAAATGCACATAATTTATTTATACATTACTTATTATTAGGATATATTCAATTGTATATTCCCATTAAATGTTACATCCGATAACAATGCAAATGATCTTCAAATTGCTAAGTTGGGTTGATCTGCCACATTCTGATATTCTTAAAAGATGGGGAACTCGACATTCTCAGCGCAACTTCGAATTCCCTTTGGTAGTATTGGACATTCAATGAAGTTGGAGGCTGATTTGTCAACACAAAGATATATCTCAATAAGCTGGCGAGTACCAGATGGATCAGTGTTGCATGTTATGCCAGGTCCAAACCCAGTTGCTTCTTTTATAGCTCGTGTTATGTTTGAAACACTGTAAAGGTTTCCATCTGGTTTGATTCCTGCATGATTTGTCAGCAGCCTGGTTTAGGTTGTTTCCCACAAGAAAAAATATATATTCTGTTTTATATGTAAATCTCTGGGTTTGTTTAAGTTATCCAATATGGTAATAATTCCCATCCTAGATGACTTACGAAGTTAAGGAATTATATTAAAAATTATATTAAGTTTTTATTAAACTTTTTATACCCCAAATCTTCCCATAAGATAGACTTATTTATCCAATATGATAACTTGGCAAACCTTCTCTGACATGAACAACTAACTGTTTGAGAATAATATTAGAGATTAGATGCATTTGATTTGACCCATCAAAGTTACCATTATCATGAAGGATTTGAAGAAGGTTTATGCGGTCTTTGAGATTCAATGAAGCTTCAAAGTATGCATGCTGATCAAGGATAGACTCTGAGCAAGTGCCGTGTTTATCCCATTCATGTTTCCAGAACCTTGTATTATCACTGATTGTACTGTTGTCGTCTGTCTTTTTGCTACCTGCACAAGAGAGTGATGGCCAGCTTGTTTGTACCCTTGGAATCAGATCTTCTATCTGCTTCAACACAAAGAATGGATTATTCGTTTCAATGTGCACTTTGTGTGTCACCTTAGATTGGTTATTCAATCAACTAGGACACATAACTCCCACTAATGTAAAATAGAAGAAAATGTTGGTATTTTAACGTGGTGGCATGTACCTTAGATTGGTTAAAAGGGTTTTGGGCAATATCACAATCAAATGGAAATGATCCATTGTTGAAATTAGGCCAAAGTCCATGAATGCTGAAGTTAGATGCTGGTTTTCCTGCCAGAGGAAAGCAGCAACCTTTTTTGGTGTCACAGAATGAACCTGGCCACTGCAATGAACGAGGGTATAAGGATATATATATATATATACACACACACATTATGATATTGCATGATATAATCAAAATTTTCATCCATAAGATAATTTATAGTACTCATTACAAAAGAGCAAAATAAAGGGATAAGATGAAATATGATCGTGCTCACTTGTTGTACGAAGAAGAAAAAGTCAAAATCCTGTGAAATACAGATGTTAACAAGAGCTGATAGTATCAAAAGCTTGAGGGAAATGATGCTGCTAGTTTTCATCTCTTTCCCTTGTGTCCTTGCACAAATTTCTTCAAAATTTGATCTGCTATTGTTGATGGAGGTTGTTTTTCTACGCGATGATGAGGGTGGAACGTGGAGCGTGTGCTCACACACTTCCTAGTCTATATTACTGTTCGCGTGGAGCATGTGGTGGATAGAGATTACTAAAATACTTTGAAACAAGATTTGGGACATCACATATATATTTGAAAGGAATACACTATGTTTGACTCTGACTTGATTTGTCATTAAATAATATAAGGTAATTTGTCACACATTGTTATTAAATCAACTGATCATAATAGTACAGCTAAGGGTTATATATACATTGTGACAATTCTATGTTTTAAAGTATAAAAACTAGCATGTGAAATGAATGTGTTTTGTTTTTAAAATAAATATGTATTTGATTTAATGATAAAGATTTATATATATATATATATATATATATATATATATATATTTGTATAAATAATTAAAGGATGCTATATTTTTATGAAATTTGTGTGTGTGTGAAAAATTTTCAGGAGACATCGTTATGAACCCAACGAAGCGCAATGTAATGCTATTACAAAAAAGAATGGAAAGGTTATAGGACACAGTAGCAATTATGCCAAAAATTCATGTTTGGGAGAAGAAGAGAAAGAGGTTGATGACTTTTGTATTTTTAATATGATAAATATTTTCTTCTTCAGTAAAAATTTGTTATTTTTAGTTCATTGAAATTAACACGAAGCATTCATATTACATTTTTTTTTAAATAATGTAGACAACACATTTTGTAATATAATATTTCATATTTTTTATTATTATCTAAAATGTGTATTAAATAGTATATTTCTAGCCAGCACTCTTGTTATCAATTACTCCTTTTAAGACCCTATCGCAAAAATATTTTATGATACTTATTATAAGATCCTTAACAAAATTTTACAAACATTTATTATTTTTTCTCATATTTCTTTTATAATTGTAGAACCTTTCAATCTTCTTGACAATCAATATGATAATAGAACTTTAATTTACATTAAATAGACATAAATATAAAATGTTGCAAATAATTTTTAAAACCCATCTAAATAATTTTAATATGTATAAGTTAATTAAAAGAGTTTTTATAAATAAGACCAAAATAATTACACTGTGGATTAAGTTTTTATAAGTTGACAAGTTCTTTTACAGTAAATACATACTTTTGACCTTGCTTTATAGATTAAGATCATTATAAATTTAGTAAAATTTATAATTTTTCTTTCTGAAAGTTTAATTTGTTTCTGAAGTGAGTAAGAAAATACCATGAAATATTAATGATATCAACGTGAACGAATTTAATTAAATCTGAAATCAATCTACTCTTACACTCCTTAGATGCAATATAAAATAGTCTCACCACGATGAACAACAATGGAAGATTACCAAAGTTTATTTTTCACATTGATCACGAGTTACAATGGTACAGCAGTTTAATCTGAAAATGATTATTCCTTTAATTAAAGTATTCTATAAATGCACACTGTGACTCAGCTTAGATACATTCTTTTTTCAACAAATATTTACAGGAAAAATTGGTGTTCAACTCTACCAAATATCAAATATTTTAAACCAACTAATAATTTATGTCATAATGGTGATAACTTTTACCATTAAGTGACATGTGGATATCAAAATAACATTATTTCTCTTTCTTCCATTCCAAAATGACATCTTACCCTCCCTGCTCACCACTCTGTAACTCCCCAGATTTTGTAATAATATCTTAATTACTGTATATACATGAAAATTTCCATGTGTTTGTATGTTTGAGTAGGTGATGATGATGTGTATTGAATGGTAGAGTGAATACATGATGTAGACATATGTGTATAGGTGAGATTGGATGTGCTGGACTGAATGAAAATAGGTTAAGCGTGTATTTCTGTGCTATTCTCGCTGTAGCGGGAGCATTCTTGCTGTAGCGAGAAGGCACTGGAAAAGAGGGGTAAAATTGTTGCGTTCTCACTGTAGCGAGAGGGCGACAGTGGAGGATGCATTTCTAGATGCCATCTCACTGCAGTGAGATTCTGCAGAAAATGAGATTTTTGCTGCAGTGAGAGAGAGTGTCGCTTAGCGAGAGTGTCGTGACACTTTGTGTATTTAAGGAGTTTAGGGTTAGGGAGAAGGCATTTTCCACTTTCCCTTTTTGTTCTCTCATTTGATTCTCTCAATCCCTAGCCTTTTTCACCGATCAAATTGCCTCTTAAGCCGTTTGTGCCCTAAATTGAAGATTGGAATCATGTTTGCAATATTTGGAGGTAAGAATATTGAGTTAGGATTCTCGATTTTTACCCTTTCTTCATCTATCTTGATTTCTCATTGATTATTCCATGTGTTTAGGGCAAGAATCCGTGTAAGAGGTGTTTCTACCATTGATTTTGTGGTGGGTCTCCATTATAAGGTAAGGGGGAGTTGATCCCAAACCCTAACCTCTCTTGAGTAGTTTTAAATGGAAAACCCTTACCCATTTTGATAACTATCTAAATGTAAATTATAACAAAGGCTGCAAATAAAATTGTTTTTGAAGGAACACGATGATTTCAATAAGCAAACGTTGTTTGGGGGTAGTTGGAATGATGCAAATCTTAGGATAGATGACTCTATTATTAATATTGAGAAATGTGAGTGCTAGACTGTACGATTTGGGCTGAGTCTGGGAGTGTCTGACCTGTGGCATATTGTATTGATTATGTAATGTGTGAAATGGTTGGTGATTCTGTCATTTGCTGAATTTCATGTTCAGATTGATTGATGATAATTTGTGAAGCATGACATATTTATGCCGTTTAATAATTAGGTATGCCAAATAAGTGAAATATGTTATTGATACAAGTGTTTGAATATTCTTAAATAAAGAAAGAATTTTATGTGTGATGTGATCATAGTACCACAGTGAGCGTGGCTACGTGCAGTGGGCGCACATGTGAATGAATTAAAGGAAATGCTATAAAGAGTTATTATAATATTGGAGTCAGAATAGATGAATGGATGTGATTGCAGTACAGGTATTATGGTATGACCCAAAAGGTGTACTCATAATATATGTATTATAATACACCAAGTTATTTAGTCAAGAATCACGTATTATGACGCGTTGCCCTATAAAAGGGTGTGGAAAAGAATGAGAAATGTTGGTGGTGAGTTTGGATAGCTACAGAGATACACTGGGGGTATAGAGTCCAGAGAATATTTGAAAAATCTTGGGAAAATGAGGGTAGTGAATGCTAGTCTGAATAGTGAATAATGATTTGCTGAAAATGAAAGCATTCACAGGCCACACACATATTTTCTGACGGATCTTCTGACTATACCTTTACTATAAGGGGTTGGTTCAGCACACGTGTATCCGTGTTGCTGCGGCTAATTGACGGCTATGTAAACTGTGAAGTCCTCAAGGGATCCTACGGGCATTGAATGTGAAAGTATGATGTATATGAAGTAGTGTAATAGTTGTACGATTATGATATATGCATTGTAACATGTCGATTGATGTTGTTGTGATATATGTGTTGTAATACATCGACGAATGCAATTAGGACACATCTGTTGTGACATATTTATTGACGTGGTATAATACATGTATTATGGCGTGCAGATTAGTAAAAAGATGCATGACTTGAAGTGGTGAACATGATTGATTGTTTGTTCTGTGTGTGCTCTTTTGTGATGACAACTTGGATGATATAAGTGTTATTACTAAATTAATCCATGTTAAGTAATATTCCTAGTACCGTATATACATGTAAGTACTTTATTTATATTAAACCAGAGATTTAGTGAGGCAGAGAATACTTACCCTTACTAATATTTTCAGGTGATGAAAGTAAAGAGTGTTGGAAGGAAGACTGCTCTGTAGGGATTGAAATGATTTGAAAAATTGTATTGTTTCAGTTAATTATGTTTCGTAATGACCAAAGTTTGTAAATGATTTCAATGTCATATATTAGAACTTAATACTTGAGCAAATATTGGTTGTAAAGGATATTTTGGCAATATTCTTAGCAGAAACTCTGAATTTGTATGTATTCAACGTAAACCAAACAAGTTGATAAATGTGAGTTTATGTTTTATTTATTACCTTTAAAGTTTCAAAATCATTCCCTTCAAAGCTTGACTTTTTTTTGGAATCCGATGAAATTTTCATAAGGAAATATAAAATTCTATCTTGATCCTATTATTAAATCTATGAACGGAAATAAATTTATATTATCTGCCATCAAAATTGCTTATTTAAATAAAGAAAATGAAGGCGTTACATAACCCCTGCCATCTTCAATGTTTTCTTCTTTATCTTTTCCTTCCCTTACCATTCATGACTTCTAGTAAATGTTGCACATGGTGGCAAGGGATGTGAGGCCCAACATGGTGAAGCTATTTTGGAACTTGGTGTAGATTGGAAATTATGGATGTTCATGGAAGAATAACGTTGGATCTAGAAAAGAAGATTTTAAAGTGACATGGAAAGAAAGAAGGAAGGGTGAAAATTCGAAGTATTTGATGAAGTAGAACGATGGTGTTGCCACGACTACCAAGCTCATAATCATTGGATTCCAAAGCTCCTTTCAACAACGTGTTGGAGCATTGTGCTTCGTACCCTCCTTTGTCTTCTTCTTTGACTTAGGAGTTAGAGTGCGAACCTTGGTGCTCAATGCTACCATAGGCACAAAATTTGTGGGTAGAGAGATCACTATGAAAAGCATAAAGTGTTGTTATTAGTGGGGGCAAATTCAAAGGATTAGCCACTGACGCTGGAGATGTAACCTTTACCGACAAAGCATGGGCTACAATTGCAGCATTGAAAGATAAAATTATGGAGATGACTTAGGAGAAGTAATTGGTGTTGATTATTTCAATTTTAAAGGGGTTTTCGCGGGGAATATAGAATGAGTAATGATAGTAAAAAATGTAATAGGTGCAGTTGACAAAGATTAGTGAGTGGGTGAGGAGGGAGACAATATCATTTTGGG